AGTGAGTTGGTGTAGATGATGATGTGACTTCCACGTAAGATCTTATAGATTAGGCAGTTACATCATAACAAATTTACAACTTTAGGATTAGGTCTATTATTAGAGCAGTGCTAATATCACAGTAGACCATAATTCTAAATTGGTAAGCCCGACTAAAGAAACGCAACCTATTATTTTTTTTCACTTGATATTTCTCGATTGATATTTATTTATGGAAACCCATTATTCTAACAGTCCTCTGATTAGTGCTCATGTGTATTATCGTGATGTTATATTGATTAGTTCTCATAACTTACTAGCTCAATCAATAATAAAAACTGGTCATCTACATTAACTAATTAGCTTTTGATGGTTCGTTAACAAGCTTTAGTAGCATTTACATGCTACTGCAAAATAAAGTTGTTTAAACATCAAGCTCTAGCAAATATGACCTGCAAATAACCTCAATATACATTGACTATCCATGCAATCAAGGACTTAATAGTTATCTGGATCCAATTCTTAGTGTTCCTTCACATAATGCATTCCGTTTTAAACCATACATTATTCTGTTATATTTTGTTCTTCTGACCACTGCCTGCCTAATTTCATATTCTCGAGTTCCATTGCCAAACACCAAGGATGACAACCATAGAATTATCTGGATTAATTCAATTGTTCTGATTCGAGCGAGTGACGAAAACGTTAACGGCACCAAGCATCCTGGAATTAATTGCCATACTACATGTTTTATTCTGGATGCTTTTTGATCATTAATCCTCACGAATGGCGTTACACATGCCGTCGACTGAATAATTTAATTATCGAAAACAATCCAGGCGAGTTTAACTATTTTACTGGATGGTTTTCTGTACTTGACATGTTATGATAATTAGAAGTATTTGAATTATAGTATGAACTAAGAATCCCAGGGATAACGCAGTTGAATCAAGAAGTACTACATAAGCACTAACGAATGTACTGTATTTAGAATTCGAAATCAAACATTCAACAAGTACAAAGGAGTCATTAGTTCATTCAAACACCACATCCGCCACAGCTTAAATTAGAGTCTAAGTGTCTGTAATCAATTGTACGTCTTCTTCTAAAGTTCATACTGTGTCTGTCCGACAATGTATTGGATAAAGACTCTGTATTATCTGATTTCTGGGATTGTGAACGATCACCATGCCTGTTGAATACTGAAACTACTACCTAGAATATGAACCATAGACTATCCTCCCCCACGAAATAATGTCGGATCTTCATATCCCCAGGTTATGAATAATGTGGCTTCATTTAAAACATCTTTCTCAATATGACTAGAGTAAACGTTGGAAGTGAATTTATGATAAGGACAAACAACAGTTGATATGGAATTATCTGAATAGTAATCAAACTCTAACTCATTTATTACTCGTGCTTCGCATCGAACGAGTTTCTCACAAGAAACAAATGCATCATGAGGACAAATAATATTTGATATGACACCAAGATTTGATTCTTCTGAAATAGTTTCCTCAAATTTATTAAGAATGTCATTGCAGAGTAAAGGATCGTTAGAAAAATCAACATCAATCAAAACTACATCAGTTTTTTTATCATCATTAGGTTCATTCGAAATATTTTCACCAGATTTGCAAGAAATTTCACCAGAAATATGTGAATCATTAGGAAAAACCATATCTGGTACAATAAAATGGGAAATCTGATAGGTTGATTCATTAGAAATTGTTTTCTCGCAAGAATCTTGAGTTTCATTTAACTTTGAACTGCTATATGACTCTAAATAGTCTTTTGAAATCGTCGATAAAGATAAATGATCATTATAAATATTTAAATTAATAGAATCAGAATCACAAGACTTAATATTAGTTACAGTAAGATGAACAGTAGTATTACAAACTGACTGAATATGTCCGACATCACCACATTTAAAGCACTTAGAATTACGAAATTTACATGAATTAAAAGAGTGGAACCTGCCACAGCACAAACATTGACCAAACTTGTGCCCATCCTCATTAACTGCATCGCAATTCCCAAATGAATTATCTGCATAATCTTGAGTATGCACTGGGATGGGGCGACGTAATGTAGTGGAATTTTTTATGTCCTCATGAATTATTTTACGAAATCTCCCTTTACCGCATTCGAAATTTGTATACTTAGCATAGTCTAGAAGTAGTTCTTTGAGAGTTGTATAAGGAAGAGAAATGGGCTTTTCCGGTAAAGCCAAAATTTTTATTAAGCTATATGCTTCTTTTCCGATGAATGTGAGAAAATGTGCCACAATATTAATATTCTCATCATCTTCCTTGGTCATAGCCCAGATTTCGAACCTTTCAAAGTAATCTTCATAAGCATCAAAATCCGAATGAATATCTAACTGTTCCATCGCAGATCCTGCTCGCGACGCCAATATGATAATTAGAAGTATTTGAATTATAGTATGAACTAAGAATCCCAGGTATAACGCAATTGAATCAAGAAGTACTACATAAGCACTAACGAATGTACTGTATTTAGAATTCGAAATCAAACATTCAACAAGTACAAAGGAGTCATTAGTTCATTCAAACACCACACATATATATATTTTCCAATTGCTTTTGTCACATGTGTCATAGGCTAAATGCAGAAACTTCGTATTGAAAGTGTACAAGGAGTCATACCCCTACCTAATGTTCCATAAGTTTTCTTAGCTTTAAAACTTTTCCCAGACATGTTTACTATTTTTAAATTGTCACGCCTCACCAACCTGTATGTTAACCTGGTCCGTAAATGCGTTGAATTATTTCCACGTAAGATCTTATAGATTAGGCAGTTACATCATAACAAATTTACAACTTTAGGATTAGGTCTATTATTAGAGCAGTGCTAATATCATAGTAGACCATAATTCTACAGTTATACCACTGATTGCTTTGTAACACTAGAGGCCTAATCAACAATTTTGTGATTTTTTAGATCCACTGTTATCTGAAATGACCTCAATCGAAAATGATGATAGCAAAATGTGTTACCAAAAGAAAGTAATTGCATACAATGCTTGTCGCACTATCCCTAAATTTTTGCCGTAAACGAGGTATGCTAAATTTTTTCACAGTATGTACTTTATGATTTACATTAAGATAAGGTGAAAAGACTGGAGCAGTCAAACGACATATGCACCTTAATACTGAAGCTGTCGCTCTTAACCGTCCGAAAAAAATCACTCACGACAACCCAGGTTAAAATCTCTCTGATATTTGGGTTCGTGGTATTATGGCTGGTGAACGCCTAAAACCTATGTTCTTCCTAAGCCAATGAGGTATGAATTATGCTGAAAATACCTGGCATCTAAGCAAGTCTGATAACATAACTGCAGTAAATGTAATGTGTGTATCGTGGAGTCACTTCGCTTGTAACCCAAAAAGCGAGAGATTACAGTGGATCTCCTCATCAGAACCAGTCGTAGTAGTGGTCATATGCAAATTTGAGGACATTGCTAAGCCTCGTGTTATTAATTTCTAAAGTTGCTAGTGCGACCAATATATAGATAACCTGGAAATAATGGGGATTGTTCGTACGCATCATATGGCTACAGCAAGAGTTACAACTCAAAATTACAACACCAGGTTTCGTTGGCTGGATTTTTTTTACTTTGATTTCACTATTGTGAAGAATATTATGCGGAACGGACGACTGTCTTTAGTTGATATGTTTTCTTTTTAAAGCTTGACAGTTTAAAAGTAACCATATTCAATTGTCATACGTCCTTTAAATAACTAATTCGCATCACTGTTAATGAAACCGTAAATTCAGCTTATAAGGTCAGTCACAGATCGCATGTAAGATTCGCGTTTTCCAACTATTCAGTGAAGAGAAAATGTAACCATTGAAATCTACCAACTCAGAGCTACACCTTTTAGTTAACTGATTTGGGCAGTTAGTTTTACATATTAAGAGTTGATTCTTGAAGTCGTCAAGAATACTGACCCTAATATAGACTACCTATACCCGAAGATGTCACTTTTTCTAAATATTGCCGGGCTGAGAAAGTACTTATATCTGACTGAGTATTGCGAACATTCGTAGTTTTAATGCTTCGTCTTTTCTGTGTATTCAACTCTAACTTGATATAAACTGTAGTCGGAAATGGTGTATTGATTCCATAAAAGCATTCTAACACACATATATTGGCTTAGAAGACGACAAGTTCCCAAGTGTCCACCTGGAAACTAGACACCATCTTTTTTCAATGTCACCGAAATATCGCAGAATCATACGCCGTAGTAGATGAGCTAGCGAGACATTGACGTCAAACCAGTGACATGAAGAGTGTTGCTATCATTGCAAGGCTACAGTTATCGCTAAATCGTACAGAGGAAATAGACACCTAAATCTGGCGCATTAGTGTTAGGAAAACTGCAGTTACTAGTATCTTTATTGTGTATTAGTAGAAGAATTGTGATATTTGCGTAATCCCAAATTGCATCACTTCACATAGAAATAACTAGTTTGTCGCGATTTTAACTATGAATATGAATCAATATTACAAACATACATTACTGGAGATGGTTGACATTTGTAGACCAGATGGATAATTTTAGGAGTTCCGCTAATGAAGTAGAGTTATGAAGCCTACATAGTCCCTCTAATTACGACCATCAGTAAACAAACTAGAGGTGGAGGTGAGCTGTTCGAATTTTTTCCATATATGACTAACAGCTTATCTGAATATTCATTGCTTCCAATAGGACAAAAGTAAACAACAGATCCGAATCAAAGTCGACAAGATAAGAAGTCAGTTATGTATGAAGGAATTCAAATAGCTTAATTCCACCTCAAGTTTATGCTGATGATGTTGTACAGAGAGGTAATGAAGGCTTCAAGATTGAACCACAGCCCAGAAAAAGAAAATTCAAGAAAAAGCACTGCTTGCTACTACTTTAGATGCCATACAAATATACTTTTCTTCGACTAGAAGTCAGTAGACATAAACATTCCTCTACTAACACATTTCACAAATCAGTTCCTTAAGATATAAATTGTTTATATTTATTTATTCAACGATATAAAAGTATTTACACATTTGTTGTTCCCTAGAACTTAATAAACACAATTTTTAATTTAGTGAAGAGATTTTGTAACAAAAAAATAAACAATAATCAAAATAGAGTCATAATACACCAACAGTTTAGAAGAGATTACATAAGAGAAAACGTGTTTCGAAAAGCAAACAAGACTTTACAATGTAAACACTATAAATACTGTTGGCTACCATGGCTGAAACGACTGGAAAGCTTTTTGGAATGTTCAATTATTTCCTTTCGAGCAGCTGTATCAACTCGGGACAGTTTAAGATCTTTTTCACGATCAAAAGGTCGTCTTATTGATTTACCAGATGGTGATGATGACTTTCCACGTTCTTTTTTGTGCTTCTGAAGAAAAACGTCAAAAGTGAAACATTAGCTACGAAGTGAAATAAATACCCACCTTGGATTTATGCTTATGTTTTTTGGATTTCTTTCCATGTTTTTTCTTTAATTTGTGTTTGAGTTTATTCTCATACAATTCAAGTAAACTTGACTTTTCTTTTGAAATCTATGACGCGAGGTGGACAAAGGGAAAATAAAGAAGAGAGATGCCATATCTAAAACGGTAAAATTGAAATTACTTGACATTCCGAAGCAATCTTTGCCATCTTCTGATCGTATACTTCGTTTCGTTGATATTTCAGAGTGTCCTTTATTGATTGATTTGTCTGAAATAAATGAATGTACAATGAGTACTTACATTAACATTGATGAATCATAAGCGAAAACTAAAAAATGAGCTTGAAATAGAATATATAAATTTATATACTAATAGATTGCATAAAGGTAGCTAAGAATAATCAATCCATATCGCAAATTAGTGATAAGACAATAACTGGTGATAAAGAATTATCTGACCCCGAAAATAAGTCGAATGATGTATGAGTAAACAACTTTTTATAAGGTTTAATTAGGTTTGTGTAAATTGAACTGAGTACTTGACAGCAATTAATCAATAACTTAGAGAATGAGCACATGTTTACAATATCATACACTTAGATATTCCTTCTCAAGATATGATCACATGTCACAGAGGACTGGGGAGAAAAAATCACTGCTATGTGATTCGCACTACAATCCATTGAACCATTATTCGTCATATCAATACGTGCAAACATTGCGGATTGTATAGGTAGTACCATTTAATCAGTCATTTTAAGCCATCGAATAGTGCCTAGCAGTAGATGAAATATGCACGGATTCCACTGGTAGCCACTACCCAACTCTGCTTAAACGTACTGAATCAAAATAAACAAACACTTTATTCGTTGAATATTGAGCGACTATTGGAGTAGTGTATATGATGTTACCAGTAAGAGTAAAGACTACATTACACTCATCGAAAGTTCATATTTCAAGTATAGAAATATCCAGACTAATTGTTATTCAACTGTTTAGTACGAAGGAAAGGATTGGAAAACTTTGTTAATAGACCAACTAATGTAGCTAATAGAGATTGTTTATTTAAACACATGAACATTGTACAAGAAAGCACCAAATATATATGCGCCAAACAAAACATTCCATTTGTGTGACGGCTGGAATACTGCTCAGGCGCCCGAACCGAAGGGACAATTGCGTAATAAATTAGTTCACAACTGAATACACACTGAAAAAATTAATCTAGTTAAATATAAATTACGAAATTGTTATGAATAAAATAAACTCACTTGATTACTAGTTAACGATAGTCTTGAATCATCATTTGGTGCAGTAAACCATGATGCATCATGAAGAGGTGTTGATATATCTTGACGAAATTTACGTGATTTCAATGAATTAAGATCACTTGATCTAGGTAATAACTCTGTCATCCATGTATCACGTTTAAGCTTCTCATTTTTTACCGTTACACGGCTTAAACCCCCTGAATACTGGGCAGTACAAATCAAGAGACAATGAAGGAAAAAGCTTACAACACTATGAGATAAATCAAAGTCGTTCAAAACCAAGTTAATAGCACCGTTTGCAATTATTAAACTTATCGATTGGTGCCAATACAACTGATTAATTGGTCTACTACATAAAGTGAAATAAAAAAATCTTTGTATTCACTAATTTTCCACATGTCCATGAAAATTAACCAGTCAATAATTGTCGTCAAATTAAGTATATATATGGATAGTTAGTTTTTGTAGAACAGATTTCGGTACTCTCTCTTGCGTAGTGCACCGGTTAGAAATTCGAAAAGCATGCAGTAGTTGTCGCAGATCAGAACAAACTTACGCGGTTATTTAAGCATATTTTTGTTCGATAATTTAAGCACTTGGAATGAATATGATACCGTCTTTATGAAACTCACTTTATACCTGTGTTTGAATCTTTTTGCTTCTTAATATAGACCTTTGAATAATTTGATAACATTGAGTTTTGATGAAAATACAAATCAAGTGGACAGCAATGCATGCAGTGATGACAAAACTGATTTGAAAGTCCATCTAACAGTAAGTTGTTTATAACATGAGTTTCTGGTTAGATTGTCTGTCAGTCGCAACGTAGAACTTGGTACGTGTGTACATACCATACCCCATAGGTACATATAGATGAAATTGTCATGTCAAATATCAGAATAGTAGAGGTATTAACAGTATCAGTGGTAACAAAAAAATTAGACACCGAAGGTACTACTCAAGAAAACATAAACTAGTGAAGAAAAACAGAGAAATGTATGAGGCAATTTTAATCCCACGATTTAAGGGAAGACAAAGAGTGTATACACCTACTCCATTTTGATCAATTCCGAGCCATTTCATCAAGAGTCTCCAACCATAGGTGACGCAAGTTGGTAAAAGGCGAACGAGCTTTCTGAATCCATGCTGAGATTTCGTCAGATACCAACTCATTAGGGCTGATTAGACTTACAAGATAAGTGAAATTGTCAACGCGTTCGACTACTTCACTCCCTATCCTTAGTTCAGGTGTTGACGCAAACCAGTCCTGAAGCAACAACTTGCATTTAGAAGGAGAGAAGCGCATCCCAAACATTCTGGCATTGTTGCTCAGTACTACCAAAAGACTCTGCATTTTATCAGCGTCTTCACCAAACAGGACTATGTCATCTGCGTATTCTAAGTCGATAAGTGGACCTCCTGGTAGGAGATCGATGCCCGAAAATTCAGTCGATGAGAGCGTTATTTCCATCAGTAGATCTATGATGAAGTTGAACAAAAATGGAGAAAGTGGACAGCCTTGACGGACAACACTTGAGGTTGCAAAAGCAGATGACAGTTCGCCATAAGCTCTGACTCGACTAGTAGTGTCCGAGTAAAGAGCCTTCACAAGGTTTATGTACTTCTGAGGTACGCCTTCCAATGACAGACACTACCACAGAACCGCTCGGTCTACATAGTCAAATGCTGCTTTTAAGTCAAGGAAGACCACCATTGTCGGACGCCGATAAGTATGCCTGTGTTCTAGGAGCTGACGAATGGTGAATATGTGGTTGATACAGCCACGACCAGGTCTGGAGCAAGCTTGATTCTCTCGTGTTTGCAGTTCACGAGTCTTAGTTAGGCGTCCGATAATTATTGAGGCTGGTATTTTAGATGCTATGTTAGTTAAACTAATCCCTCTATGGTTGTCACAGGATGATTTTGACCCCTTCTTATATATTGGGACAATCAGCTATTGCGACTAGTCAGAGGGGATTGCGTCCAACTCCCAGATTTTAGCTAAAATATTAGTCAACCTAGTTGCTAGAATCGGACCACCATACTTAAAGACCTCTGGAGCCAATCCATCTGGACCAGTTGCCCTTCCTCGTTTCAGATTAACTATAGCCTTTTGAACTTCAGCTAGAGTTGGAGGATCTACTTCAATATTCCATTCACACTGTCTGGGAATGGAGGGTAGTTGTAAAGTAGCTGAAGGCCAGCTGAACTGCTCCTTAAAGTGTTCCGCCCATCGTTCTAAACGTCTGGACTGAGAGCAGATAAGAACGTCGTCTTTTTCCCAGATGGTCTCACTTACACCTGACTTTTTAGTTCCAGTTTCTTTTATGAGTCTGAAGAGCTGTCTGGTGTTACCTATAGCCGCCGCCTTTTCCATCTCTTTTGCTTTCGTTGCCCACCACTGCTCACGATCATTCCTTAGACTTTTAGTTAACCTAGATCTGATTTGTTTACGCTCTTTATCGTGTTCAGAACCTGATGGTATGTTTACGAGAATCCATCAGTGCAATAGACCTTGAAGAAATCCATTGGTTCTTTGTAACCCTTTGATTTAAATCACAAATAGATGTCACTGCTGTTTCCAGAGCTGATTGTATATCTTTCCAATCAACATCTGGGTCAGCCTCGTTTTCAGAACTACCTAAGTGTGACTTCAGTTGTTCATGGAATCTACCTTTGGATTCCTCGTTACTCAGTTCAGTTCTAATGTATCTTTTTAATGTGACTTTTTTGCGTCCAGTGAGGCGCAAGCAGATGCGTGCTTGTATTAGGGCATGGTCGGAGTCCAAGCAGGAATTCCAGAATGAACGACAATGTTCTATCGAGCCTATTAAACGATGACTGATGGCAATATGGTCTATTTGAGTCCATCGTTGATTTGGTGTTTTAGCCAAGGAGGCCCGTTGGCCGATTTGACATAGGGTGCGTACGTTGAAGGCTCCAACGTGCAGTTTAGAGCGAGGTTCCAGTAGATCTGGGGCAATGTTTCTTACTCTAGAAACTTTGGCCATGGTGACACTTAAGGAGGAAGCTAAAAGAAAAAGTTTAGCGTTGGATGTCGACGTATGAGGCATAATAGGAAATTGGATTAGAGATGATCTTAGTGACCTGAGAGCTTAACCGCAATGCCCAGTGGACAACTGCTTGAGGTCGGTCACAAACGACATCTTTTGTGAGTATTTTTCATGTTAGCTCCGTACTTGTTGAAACTATACCACCGGAGACGGATATCTATGGGGTAAGGCGAGCCGTGCATTTTAAGGGTCGAGCTTTTCTAACCTCATCCCTCCTTGTTTGAAGGCAGCATCGCTGTTATGCTGGTTATCTGAAGGAAACACTTTACTGCCGTCACATCTCTGTACAGTCAGCAGTACGACTGCGAGCTCGGACCTTGGGTTTACTGCTTTTAGTCTTACCGCTCTTCAACCGATCTGTCTGGCATGGTAGGACCTTGAAGAACGATTGGTTCATCACGATAGGCAAGCATGACCACCACGTCAAAGTAGCAGCAACGGTCGGGATTTCGTGAAGTAGGGGCTGCGAACCAACAAACAGATGTCACGTCAACAAACAACAAGTTCGTGCATTGATCCCAACTTTTGGATATCTCTAGTACTAGTAAAATTAGTTGAGTTTTGCCGTAAATATCATTACAAAATCCTTTTAAAGAGCTAAGTTATGAGGCTGATAGATTAGTTAGAACTGTTGTTTTCATAATTTCTCCAGATGAGAAGACGATCGACTTTTATCTGTACTAATAACAGGATATCGATCAAAAACAACATGCAGAAAACAATGTCATTTTGTCAAACAAACAGCAGACAATTTTATGGATCTCCAAAGTAGATGTTCATTAGTCCCAGAAGAATGACTAGTTTCAAAACACTGGTATTAAGTGTTTACGTAATCATGTTGTATACTGAGAGAAAGCGGAGTCTCCAAAGGGAATTAAGATATTTAAACTGTTACATTTTTATCTTCTACAAACTCAATATTCATGAGATTTGTAGGTTAACTAAGATGTTTACAACGAATTTCTTGGATGATATTTAACTAATAAATGATATTCCGTGCAATTCGCTAAAGAAAAGTGATATGTAATATATTTACAAGCAAACTTGATAAAAAAGGATTTTAACTAAGTGATACCTGAAACATATAAAAAGCAACATACACCAGATTTCAGATGCCGCCACTCTTCTCTTATTTCTTGTCCCGGTCGTAAAGGACCAATAGTATCAATCTCTTCAAAGTTAGTGGGAGATTTATAATTGACTGATTCCGGCTCTTTATTTAATTTTTGTTTGAATAAATCAGAGGGTAATGCAGGGCCTATCCCAGTGGATGGAACAAGATCATCAGGTTGAAAAACTGGTCCAATAACTCGGTCGTCATTTTTGGAATCCGTTTTTCTAGACATGTCAACTTTATTATACCTAAGTAATATATTGAAAATTATTATTATAATTAATACTTCACTTATGACGAATCATATTACATAATAAGTTATTAATAGTAGGAGTAAATCGTATTGTTGTAAGTGGAAAAAAACTACTGTATAATGATTATTAATGACACATGAACACTAACAAGTGCTGTAATCTCACTGTTTCAACGTTTTTGAAAAACAACCACACTTTGTGCTTACACATCAGATTGACTTTGGTTAAACCATGACTACAAACCAAGAACCATTGGACATGTTTCACATTAATATATTGCTCATCAGGAGTGGGGATCAACAACTGAACCAGGAGTATAACCCATGAATTACTGAGCTCGTGACGAGCACTTATTTTTTAGATAATTGAATTACCATCCAACGGTTAATACGCTTAACTTCAGTTAGTTATTAATATTCATCCAAGGGATTTCTAGATTTCAGTGTTTGTTTAATCAAGATCAGTCTAAGATGCAGAATCATAAAACCCGGTCATCTCCACAAAACTCATTTAGGAATGCGTAACAATAAATCAGATGAAAATATATCATGTTTATTGCTTCTTATTCATCTTGAAAGTTTTTTAGTCGATTTTTCTTCTTGTTGAATAACTCTAGTTAAATAATGTGATGCATGTTACAAGCATAAAGCACTTCCATTGGATAACGATCCCCATTTTACATAAAAATACGGATTGTTATCCACATAAGTTTAAATCGGGAAATAAGATTTCCAGATATACAAATGTATGATTTAGAAATACACATAAATATTATCACCGAATCGTCAATCAAGCACAGATTCATAAACTTGGCATCGGCTCACACTGTAGGTATGAGAGTTGATGATACTAATTGCTTACTCAATCGATAGTACGTAGAGCTATATAAGTTACATACAGGCGTTCATCAGTTGTTTTGATCACACACACGTACACACAGATTATGATAAGTAATAATCTACTACAGATATTATTTTTATTTATTTTTCAAAACGAAACAGTTTATGTGATGTTACTTATAGAATAGAAAAGAGTATGGAAGTCAATACAATACAACAAAACAGTGTAACAATCATGAAGATAAACAAAGGAATAAAGAAAATGCATTTTTAAAAAAACATTGGAAGTTAAGAAGATGTTTCAGTTTCAAAATATGTCGATATTGTCATAGGAAAAAAGATTTAAACGAAATATGGTATTAACTTTTGATAAGTGACAACAAAAAATATGAGTAGAACACCGGAAATATAAATTTGTAATAAACGCAACTCAGTTGGGAGATAACATTTATTTATTGAATAATTTGTGGACGATATTGAAAGCTGTAAAAAAAGAAAGATATGAGGGAATATAAATATTGCAAAAGAAAATAATCAGCATTGTACATTATCATATAATACAACTTTATCAATGATATTAGTGTAATTTCTAAAAAAAATATTACATACTTTCTCAACTAGCTGAAAGGTGGTGGAAGTAGTCGACGAAATCACTGAAAACTAGGTTTCGCGCTACTTAGCACTCGTCAGCAAGATGTACCTGTAAGTTTAACGGACTGATGCTCGCTGGAGGATTTAACTGTGTATCACCTATTTAAGGTTTCCTGTTAACTATTTTCAACCATTATTTTACAGCTCGACATAGTGCACGAAACGCTAAGTTACTTAGACTAGTAGCTACATTGCAACTTGGCCGATAGAATCCGATTAGAACTGAGGAGTTAACAAACAATATTGGTCGCTATCCAGTGGTCGATCGATCGTTTACCAATTATTAAGCAACACGTCCACATCGATCTAACCTATATTTTAATAAAGAAAGGAGGTAGTAATTATACCAACAATGCAAAAACGTATACGCAGTAAAAGTATGGGTAGCTCACGCATGCGCGTATTGATTTAATGAGTTATGTGCTGCACCTATATTCGTTCTGACTTTATTTAAATTCATGAAGGGAACTAATTGTATGTGCGTTGTTTTGTCAGAGTTAGGTCTAGATGATGGCTAGTCAGTTAGTCATACGCAAATTCGAGCCTGGTAAATATTCGCATAGGTTCAATTTGCTCCAACATATCACCATAACAGGATGCCAGAGTAGTGATAATGTCAGTGGTAGCAGAAAAGGTAACGCACAGAAGACATGATTTGGAAAGAAAATATAAATTCATGGAATAAAACAGAACATTTTATGATAGTTAAGAAACATATGATTGGTATGATGGGATGAGTAGTAGGGTGAGAATAACTCGTGTAAATATCATACGGAGAATTTTTATTTTTGTTGAATATTTAGTATACGTTTGTACTTTTGTTTACGTTCTACTGCTGTCAATATTTCGTTTGACCCATAAATCGTTGTCATGTTTTATTATTCAAGATTTATCATCAATTATTCAATTCTCTATTAATCCGGTTTAGGATTACTTATAACTACGTTATGTACACATTGCATTAACTTGATTATGTTGCTGTGTTCAAAAATTTCAGTTATATTATCGTGTGAGTTTTGAGTCATAACTGAATCGACTGAGATAAAGAACTAATATGCTTTTGATCTTCGCTTTTTGAATAGTCACTTTCTTAGGTGCTCGAGGATGAATAAACATAAAGGATGCATGCGTCAAGTGGTAAGTAGGTTAGCGATCCTACGGGAGTTACGGATGAATAAAACGGTAATCGAACTAGACACCATACAACTAATTTCTTGTCCGGACTAATGGACCTTATTTTATTTGCTTTCAAATCTTGTTCCGATTTGAGAAACGTCTAATAAGTTATCGCGGTCAGGGAATACTGAACAATCGAAAAAAATCAATTTATCAGACATTCTTGAAATAATAAAACAAAATTTATTTCCTATTAAATAAGGATTTAGAAAACGAACTGGGCTTATATAAGACAAACTATTGACAATGCAAGTACATAATCAAGTTTATGTTAGTATGCTGTACTATCAGTCTAAACAAATACAAAATGAATGTGGTGGGGCTCGAATAAGTAATCATATAGTGAGATGACTTGTGGTTTACCCACTAAGCCGCCTCGCTGTAGTGTTTTGGGAAACTATAGGATATGAAATTCGGTAACGACAGTCACTCTTGCAAAATACCAATTACAGAAATTTAAATTAATTTCCTTGTTTATTTATTTGAGACTTCTTCTAATTTTAGTGAACCTAGGACAAAATCAAATTGTATCGGTTGTGTGACAAAGTGAAGTTAGTTACATGTTGTTTATTAGTTGAATCAACTAAAAGACTGAAATTTGTAACGCTGTCACATATTGATGGAGGTAGAAATTGTACCACCGGGCGCCTACCCAGTTTTTTTAATGGGTAATTATTTGCTGAGATTTGAAGGTCCCGAGTTTGATAAATGATGAGGCCTTGAATGAACATTGAAGTATAGCGCATAATGGGACGAAACAGTTGCCTGGTGTCCCCCAGCTTTTGATGGGATATGTGCATCCCGAGAAAATCGCCTCAAAACGGACATTGTGACAAGTTTACATAGAACAGATGGAATGTTGCTTGCAGTGAAATTCAAGAGGTTTGTTTAGTCCTATTTGAGACCCGTCAGCTGGATGTACCTGCACACTAGAGTTAATGTTCTCTCTGGTACTGAAACCCAGTAACACTCCGAACGACAACACGTTATCAACTTAACCTCTAAGTTCAGACAGTCACTCGCGCAACAGATTTGAATTTTAATTCAATCAATAATGGTTTGATTTATCCTGTTGTTGAGATTTTGACTGAAATCAACATCAACTCTGAGATGCAGGTAAATCCAGCTGAGTATCAAATACGATGAAACACGCGTTCTGGATTTCACTGCTAGCCAAATTTCACCCATTCTACGTATATTTCCTGATTTTATTTCACGATCATTCATCTTATTATTTCCACTTTATTGATTCTAATTTTGTTCAATTTCTTTCGTCATTGCTGCTTTGAATAAAGCATGGTATAGATTAAATTATTGTCTATGTATATTATTGTAACTTAATATTGTTCATGAATTAAAGTCAGTTGAAGTAGGAATAACTCCGGTAAATTACATATATTACGGATAATAATCCGATTAATATACCATTAGAAATCCAGGATTTGCGAGATTTCTCCAAGAGAAGCTAGCAACTGACCATTCCACAGCAGATTCCGATTGGTTACCAAATTGATGTGACATTTTACATGAGTAATGTGTATGACCAGATAGTATTAGTCGTGGACGAAGAGATTCCAGTAACTAATTTTATTAAAAAAAAGATATAATTATAATTCTAACAGCAGGGATGAAGTTTTGATATTGCGCAGATTACAGTCATAAATAATATTGACATTTTGAAACGAGAATTCAACATTTTGCGATCAAAACTATAACTTACCGCCACAGTGACTGATATCAAACTAGCAATAACTGATAGTCGATGTTTGCATATGGAAACCGAACTTCTATGAATTGACATTCAGACTTAAAATTGGTAGACTATTTCAACAACAAATGATTATCTTTTAGAAGTGATTTACGTGTAACATACCAAAAAAGTTCGTTTAACACTAACATGGTGTGATGTGCGCCACTTATATGGATAGAAGTATGTAGCAGGAATAGGAAGTGGAATGCTTACCAAAAGAAGATTGAAATAAAGAGAACAGGAAGGGAAATGGAGAGCAATTGGTATAACAACAAAACTAGGGGAATGCCGAAAATACCCTGGTACGGTCGAGGGTGGAGAGAGTCCGCTTCCCCTCTCGAAATGCTCTTGCATGGACACACGTATACAGCCACTGCTACAGAATTCCTAATCACTGCCTTCTCACGGCAGGGGTGTTCTTTACGAAATTTAGAAGACGAAAAGCGAATTTCCGGCGTTTTAACCAGGCCGGTTGACACGGTGAGTCCACTTAGAGGAGTTGGAAAACCCTGATTCCAAACCAATGGTGCACATGAGCTCCAGTATCCTGAAGGAACAGAAGGTGTATGAACCTATTGTTGGTCGCCGGCTACCACGGGACTGCATCTCCTAAAGTCGCTCCATTGCCATGTGGATTAGACCTTCAGGTCGAAGGCTCCGGGTGTGGCTCCCTAAGAAAGCCACCTGCCTCGTTTTGGGCACCCGAGCAGTATTACAGCTCTCACACAAATCAATGATAACTGCTATTGGCCTCGTTGTTACTGTGTGGAGTATATGTACTTGGTGCCCCCTTGTACCAATGTTTATGTGTCCAGATAAATAAATAATAATTCACCACATACCCCCCAACTATCAACTGCCTAGATAGGCAATTTTGTTTAACGTAGATGCAGGCTATAAGAAACTAATGGGGGGGTCCGACCAAGACTTAACAACAGTTCATGTAACATTTACAACTGGACTAAGCCATGTGAGTAGGCGTAGCCTAATTAGTTGGGGTCCGTGAGATTATCGTAACCCTAGTATAGCTCAGAATTGTTCTCAATGGTGTAGGACCATTCGCTTTTTGTTTCTCATGAGCCTTGAAATCTTATACAATTTTTATTTATTTTCCTCTACTTAATCCTCGATATTAATGCTACTAACATAGTTTCTACTCCTACACAGGGACTTGTCTTGATAATTTTAACTTGTTCTGGTAGTCTGATGTGGCAACTTGAACTGATGCCCAGATGTGTCAGGTCCCATATCGGCTGACAAGGAATGATATCAGTTGGAAAACAGTTGAGAAACTAGGGCAAGGACCAAGGTGATCACGAACGGCCTGGTTCCAGATAGAGGTTCGCCAATGCCCATCGACTTGTTGAAGCCTGGGACGATTCCTCATTAGGCTCGGTCGGGTGTGTAGTACTTTTTAGCGAACAGATCTTCAAACTACCTCTTGAAACAGCGGTGGCTTAAGGCCTTCAATTTACAGTAACTAGACTGCAGGTATGAACACCACTCGACTTCGATTATTAGCTCTCGTGCTTTTTTTATTTCAACACATAGACACTGGTACAAGGAGGCACCAAATATATATGCGCCACACAAATCTCAATTGATTTGTGTGAGAGCTGTGATACTGCTCGGGTGTCAAACCGAAGCAGGTGGTTTTCTTAGGGGGCCACACCCCGAGCTTTCGACCTGAACGTCTGACCCGCAAGGCAGTGGAGCATCATGAGCAGATGCAGTCCCATGATAGCTGGTGGTCAACGATTGGTTCATACGCCATTTGTTCCTTCAGGATACTGGAGCCCATGTGCACCATTGGTTTGGGATCCGGTTAAAGCGCCGGACATTCGCTCTTCGTCCTCTCAATTTCGTAAACAACACCCCCGCCACGAAAAGGCAGTGAGTAGGACTTCCCTGGCAGAGGCTATATACACGTGTCCATGTGAGAGCATTTCAAGAGGGAGAGCGGACTCTCCCTACTCTCGGCCTTACCAGGGCATTTGGGGGCGCCCTCGTGCTTAGAGTGTGGTTTAAATTCAAGTACAAAAATCTTTGACTGGTAAATGAGTTATCGATCACATTAGGATGAAATTTAGGACATAAATCGCACTGAAAGTATTTTGTATTGGTTTGGGACACATAAGAAGTGTCTACATAGCGACAGACTGATAATTTAGGGAGAACGTTCTATGAAATATTGTGTCAATAACAACTCAGAGTCAAGCAGTTACTTATGGATGATATTTTAAGGTGACTGGATCGCATTGCTTGGTTTAGTGTATATTTTCGGAGGTAATTTTAAAATAGAAACAGATCAATAAAGCATAAAAATCTAATTTGAATGCATGTGTGACCGATTTTATCGGTAAATAAAGTTTGTTTTTGAAGACAGATAATATATATGAACCTATAAATTTATATTAGTGCATTCAAGATATACAAAATACTGGTGAAACTTGGGACGTACTTGTTTTGTTGCCTCTTTTGAAAGACAATCAAGTTTCGGTCTGTTTACAGTTTTTCTCAAGTGTTTAGGCATAGCATCCATTGGTTTTATAGAGCATCCACTGTCAGAAGTGCGATATAGGGGGAAATGTTGTAAAATAACAGGACGTGAATAGACGAAAGAAGATGGATCTGAAATAAGAGAAAATTTGGGTAAAATGGGACAAGTATAACAATAATACTTCTGAAAAGCTAAACAGTTACACAAATAAATATATACGCATGAATGATTACGTTTGAAAATAAATAAATGGTTACACTAAACGGTACACACTTATTTTACACAAGTCAACTAGACTGATAATACTAATAACGAGTATAGTAAAACTAATCTGGCAAAATACGAAATAATCTAGTTGACATCTCAATAATCATATCATTTTTTGACATGTTGGAGATGCATCAAGAAAAGCTTTCTTTGTTTTACCTAATATTTATTTAGTTTGAAGAAAATATTTATTATTGATTATAATAGTGTGATCATACATTGATAATGAATTCATAGTTAAAAGCCTTGAATTTTGAAGAAACACAATTGTGTATTCTATTAATCATCCATATTCAGAGTAAAGCTATGAAACACTTTAACAATAAGAAAATCACAAAGAACGGTTTCTAAATCCCTAATGTTTGTGGTGGTGTATTAGTTCTTTGCCACCTAGAGATCGGTTAATGACCATACGGAATGAAAGGGTTAATCAAGGTGATCACTCCATTTCGAGAACTCTCATAAACTCTGGTGACTAGCGAGATCTCGATGAGGATAACAATACGTCGTTTGGCTTTTCAATGCACCATATGTAATGCAAAGAACACGTTCGTCAATTTATTAAGGTGTCGGTCCACTTAAGGTCAATATATTTTGTACTGCCTGGCAGTTTTGAAATATGGCTTATGAGATTAGAAGATATGTGTAGCTTACTAACATTTGATCATAGACGCCTTTGAAGTATCAGCTGTATATAGTCGGACCTCCAAATGCGTAACACTGAGTCTGGACGTAGGAAAATAAGTAAAAATGGCAAATCTATTATAATTGAGAATGTAATCCTTCACTGAACTGATGTGGTGGGACATATGTTACATGTAACAATACACCGTCTTTTGTCAACATTACTACACTGGTCAGTGTAAAAGTAATATGAATAAAGACTAACAAGTGTCAAACTGAGACTTAATAGGAGTCCATAAAACCACCGACTGTTGGACTGAGACATGTCGACAAGCATAGACTCATTGGTTAGTGTCTGTGAGATAAACGCAATCAAGTGTTGAATACCTTAGGTGACACGAATAGAAGTCAGTCGCAGTAGTTCAAATGTTTCTATTTCCTTTTATCATTTCTTTAGCCTGAATATTATTTTCGATATTTTACTCTTCGATAGCATACCTTCTTTACTAAACCATATTATCTGTTTTTAGTATTTACCAACAATATTATGAATAGTACTTTTACTTTTCTGATTTAACATTTGGTAATTTACTTTCGCTGTTCTTAAGTGACTCCGCCTGTAGTCCCTCCGGGGGCTACTGTCGGTCCCAAGCCCGGATAGAGGAGGAGGGTTGGGCGTAGGGTTAGCGACCACATCCAGTAGAAAACTAACTAGCTAAAAAAACGCTAACCAGAAAAAAATTATTCAAACCATTCAAACTCTGCCCTGGGAGTCAGATGGTCTTCGTTTAAAAGAATTATGACGCCTTATGGTGAAAGCCGAGTTCCTTTGAAAGCCATGAGGCCGATTCCCCTTCTGAAAACCAGAGCAAACATTTATTTAGGTATATAGAATGCTAGTACAATGTGGGAGACCAGGAGTCATCCTAATTGCTGCAGAAATGAAAAGATACAACCCGCAGGTGCTTGGAATCAGTGAAACACATTGGACGCAAGTGGGACAACAACGACTAGCTTCAGGGGAACTGCTGTTATACTCCGGATATGAAGAAGAAAATGCCCCATATACACAAGGAGTTGCATTGATGCTATCCAAACAAGCACAAAATGCACTTATAGGATGGGAATCTCATGGACCCAGGATCATCAAAGCCTCTATCGAAACAAAGAAAGAGGGCATTACAATGAACGTCATCCAATGCTACGCGCCAACCAACAACTACAATGAAGACGTTAAAGATCAATTCTACGATAGGCTGCAGTCAATCGTTGATAAGTGTTCAACAAAGGACTTGAACATTCTGATAGGAGACCTAAATGTCAAGGTTGGAATGGACAACACTGGATATGAAGACATCATGAGACGACATGGACTGAGAGAAAGGAACGAAAATGGTGAGAGATTTGCAAACCTATGTGCCTTCAATAAACTGGTCATAGACGGCACTATATTCCCACATAAGCGCATCCACCAAACCACATGGACTTCACCGGATCACACTACGCAAAACCAAATCGACCATGTCTGCATCAACAAAAAGTTCAGGAGGACGATGGAGGACGTGAGAACCAAGAGAGGAGCTGATATAGCATCAGACCATCACTTGCTGGTCGCCAAGACGAAATTGAAACTCAAGGAGCCCTGGACAATGGGGCGGACAATATCACAAAAGTTTAATACGGCTTTTCTTTTGGGATACTGAAAAACTCAACAAATTCAAGATTGCCCTTAGCAATAGGTTCCAGGCCTTTCACGATCTATTCAATAGAGGGAACTACTGTGGACAGCAACTGGAAAGGGATCAAATGGGCGATCACATGTCATGAGGTTCTGGGCACAAGAAGCACCATCACAAAGGATGGATCACTGTTGATACACTGGATAAGGTTTACGAAAGGAGGAACAAGAAGGCAGCAATCAATATCATCCGAACAAGAGCAGAGAAAGCCAAGGCACAAGCTGGATACACAGAAGTAAACAAGCAAGTGAAGAGGAGCATCAGAACCGACAAACATAAATATGTGAAAGATCTAGCAATGACGGCGGAAAAGGCTGCAAGAGAAGGAAACATGAGACAATTGTATGATACAACAAAAAACTCGCTGGAAATCACCGTAAACCAGAACGACCAGTGAAAAGTAAGGAAGGCGAGGTAATCACCAACATTGAAGAACAACGAAACGGGTGGGTGGAACACTTCAAAGAACTCTTGAATAGACCAGCCCCACTGAACCCACCCAACATCGAAGCAGCACTCACGGACCTCCCAATCCATGTTGGCCCACCAACAATTGAAGAGATCAGTATGGTCATCATACAAATCAAGAGTGGCAAAGCAGCGGGACCAGACAACATTCCAGTAGAGGCACTGAAAATAGATGTAGCAGTAACTGCGAAGATACTCCACATCCTCTTCAGCAAGATTTGGTATGAAGAACAAGCACCAACAGACTGAAAAGAAGAACGCCTGGTCAAGATACCAAAGAAAGGCGATCTCAGCAAATGTGAGAACTACAGAGGCATCACTCTTCTCTCAATATCAGGAAAAGTCTTCAACAGGGTGTTGTTAAACAGGATGAAGGACTGGATTCGGTAATAATTGATAGTGTAAAGACCAAACTGCAACTCTACGGATCATTGTGGAACAATCAATTGAATGGAATTCATCGCTCTACATCAACTTCATGGACTACGAAAAAGTATTTGACAGCGTAGACAGAACAACATTTTGGAAGCTTCTCCGACACTACGGAGTGTCTGAGAAGATAGTCAATATCATACGGAATTCCTATGATGGATTAAACTGCAAAATCGTTCATGGAGGACAGTTGACAAACTCGTTCGAAGTAAAGACCTGTGTCAGGCAAGGTTGCTTACTCTCACCCTTTCTCTTTCTCCTGGTGATCGACTGAATAATGAAGACGTCAAAATCGGAAGGGAAGCACGGGATACAATGCACATCTGGGATGCAGTTGGATGAGCTAGACTTCGCAGATGATCTGGCTCTTCTATCGTAAAAGCAACAACAAATGCAGATGTGAAGGCACGGATCGGAAAAGCAAGAGCAACATATTTACAACTGAAGAATATCTGGAACTAAAAAAACAATTGGCAACCAACACCAAAGTTAGAATTTTCAATACAAATTTTAAGACAGTTCCACTGTATGGGGCCGAAACCTGGAAAACTACGAAAGCCATTATCCAGAAGATACAGGTGTTTATTAACAGTTGTCCATGCAAAATACTTCGGATCCGTTGGCCGGACACTATTAGCAACAACGTACTGTGGGAGAGAACAAAGCAGATCCCAGTGGAGGAGGAAATCAGGAAGAAGCGCTGGAAGTGGATGGAACACACATTGAGGAAAGCACCGAACTGCGTCACAAGACATGCCCTCACCTGGAATCCTCAAGGTCAAAGGAAAAGAAGAAGACCAAAGAACACATTACGCCGGGAAATGGAGATAGATATGAGAAAGATGAACAAGAATTGGATGGAACTAGAAAAGAAGGCTCAGGACAAAGTAGGTTGGAGAGTGCTGTTCAGCGGCTCATGCTCCATTAGGAGTAACAGGAGTAAGTAAGTAAGTAAGTTCTTATGTGAAGTGTGGCAACTCGGACTGATGGACACATGTGACAGGTTTTGTGTTGCATTTGCCTGACCAACGTTTTAATACGTTCATGTTACCTATGATAATTAACATGGATAACCACGAATTAGTTTAATACTTATTTTCCTGACCTATCCCTTCGCAAAACAAGTTTGCAGTGTTAAATATGTAACTACAAATGAAAATAACTTAACAATTTTGAATGATCTACAGTTATGTTTATCAAGAAGGAATATAGTATTTTGATGAGGCGATTTGTTGAGATCTGAATAAAATTACTGACCTGGTTTTTAAGTTGAAGAAGTTCATACTAGAGTGAAATCAAAAATTATCGTATAATATCCTGTTAAAAACCTGGAAAATAAAACAAGTACTCCACTCTCGTTAATCCCGCCTGTAGCCCTTCTAGAGTTATTACCGGTCCCAAGCCCAGAAATAGAGTGGGATTAAGCATGGATTCAGCAAACAAATCCCATAGAAAATGATCTTGTTAGAAAAAGCGCTGACCAGAAAAAAAGTCACTTAAACCGTTAAAGCCCAGGCATAGGAGTTGTAGGATCTTCATTCAGAAGAATTATGATGCCTCATGTTGAAAGCCGAGATTCTTCGGAAATCACGACGCCGATGCCCCTTCCAACAACCAGACTAACAATTAATATAGGTACATGGAATGTACGGAAAATGTGGGAGACCGGGAAGACTAATTAAATAGCTACGGTAATACAATTAAGCAGTGCTCGGAATCAATAGAACACATTGGATCCAAGCTGGAAAGAAAAGGATAGATTTGAGAGAGATGCTGCTGTACTCTGCTCACAAAGAACAAAATGCTCCACACACTCAAGGAGTTGCTCTGATGTTGTTCAAAGAAGCATGAAATGCACTTATTGGGTGGGAATCTCATGGACTCAGGATCGTCAAAGCATCCTTCAAAACAAAAAACGAGGGAATCATAGTGAATCTTATCCAATGTTGTGCACTTACCAATGATAGCAACGACGATGACAAAGATCAGTTTTACAAGAGGCTCCAATCAATCAGGAAAATACCTAATATGATGGGAAGAAAAGTCAATATTCGACTGATTTACTCAATATGAGTTTTATTCATCATTACATCCGTTTTGATTCAATGTAATGATTACACAATGTAGTATTTGTTTTCTTTTCTCGGATGATATTTTATTCTGTATAATATACAATATTCCTGTATTCCAATGACTATGAACTATACTCAGCATATGATTTGTTATAACTGTGAGTATTTTTTATGTGATTTCATTCTAATTATTAATCAAAATGGATGTACAATCAATATATGAACGAGTGTATTTTCTACTAAAATCGCTCGTTCTATAGTTGTTGCAGAATATACTTCCTATTCTAAGCTTGGACTTCTCCCTCTAGATAGAGGGGCTGGGACGCATCAATAGCTAGCTTACTGGTCTTTGGTCACCGAGTCTTGTTCTCGTTCGCAGATTAAGTGAACTAGTGGTAGCTTCAAACCCTAACAGGACCTGACCATCCTGATGGGAAACCTAAATGACAAAGTCGGAATGGAAAACACCATGTCTGTAGGTATCATAGGACGACATGAACTGACTGGGAGAAAGAAACGAGAGTGGTGAGAGATTTGCAAATCTATGTGTATTCGACAAATTGTTTATAGGTGGTACAACGTTCCCACACAAAGCTACATTGGTATCACCACACAGCACCACGGAGAACCAGATAGATCATATTTATATCACTAAAAAATTCAGGACGATGGAAGATGTGAGAACCAGGACAAAAGCTGATGTAGCCTTAGATCACCACCTGGACGTGGCCAAGATGAAATCAAAGCTGAAGAAACACTGGACAATTGAGAAAACAGCATTACAAAGGTTCAATACAGCATTCCTACGAGATACTAACAAACTAAATATAAATCTCAAAAATAGCTCCCGAGACTTACAAGATCTACTGGAAGAAGACATTACTATGGAGGATAACTGGAAAAGGATCAAAGAAGAACTAATTTCAACGTGCCAGGAGGTTTTGGGTAGCAAGAAGCATCACCATAAGGAATGGATATTTATCGAAACTCTGGACAAGATTCAAGAAAGGAAGAAAAAGAAGACAGCGATTAACAACAGCCAAACCCGAGGGGAGAAAGTCAAAGCACATAATGAATACATAGAAGCAAACAAACAAGTGATGAGGAGCATGAGAGCCAATAAGCAGAAATACGTGGAAGACCCAGTAGCAACAGTGGAAAAAGCAGCAAGAGAGGGAAATATGAAACAACTATGTGGCACAACGAAGAAATTAGCAGAGGAATATAGTAAACCAAAGGGACAGTCAATGACGAAGAAAGCAAGACAATCACTGAGATTCAAGAACAGAGGAACAGGTCGGTAGAACACTTCGAGGACCTCTTGAATAAGCCAGCCCCACTGAACCCATCGGTCATCGAAGCAGCACACATAGACCTTTCTATAGATGCCACCCCATCAACAACTGAAGAAATCAGCATGGCCATCAGACAAACCAAGAGTAGGAAAGCTGCAGGTCCTGACAACATACCACATGAAGCACTGGAGTCAGACAGAAAAGTGACTCTAAAGATACTTCACGTTCTATCCAAAAGGATTTGGGAGAAAGAACAAATAACAGACCGGAAAGGATATATTGTCAATAAATCAATAAAGGAGATCTCAGCAAGTATGAGAACTCAGCTGTGAAGGCATCACACTACTGTCAGCACCAGGAAACCCTCTCAACAGTGTTGTTGTATTATTATTATTATTATTTTAACACATAGGTATTGGTACAAGGAAGCACCAAATACATATGCGCCACACGAATCTCAATTGATTTGTGTGAGGGCTGTGATACTGCCCGGGTGCCCAGACCGAAGCAGGTGGTTTTCTTAAGGGGCTACACCCCGAGCCTTTGACCTAAAGGTCTAGTCCACAAGGCAGTGGAGCATTGTGAGGAGATGCAGTCCCATGGAAGCCGGTGACCAGGAAATTGGTTCATACGCCATTTGTTCCTTCAGGATACTGGAGCCCATGTGCGCCATTGATTTGGGATCCGGTTAAAGCGCCGGAAATTCGGTATTCGTCCTCTCATTTTCGTAAACAACACCCCCGCCACGAGAAGGCAGTGAGTAGGACTTCCCTGGCAGAGGCTATATACGCGTGGCCGTGTGAGAGTATTTCGAGAGGGAGAGCGGACTCTCCCCACTCTCGACCGTACCAGGGCATTTGGGGGCCAACAGTGTTGTTGAGTCGAACGAAAAATTCAGTCGACGCCTACCAGCTTCGAGATCAACAGGCTGGATTCCATAAGGATCGGTCGTGCAGAGACCAAGTCACAACACTACGGATCATCGTTGAACAATCAATTGAATGGAACTCGTCATTATATATCAGCTTCCTTGACTATGAGAAAGCGTTTGACAGCATGGATGGGAGAACGTTACGGACTCTTTTTCGACACCTGAGAGGGTCGTGAACATCATCCCGAATCCATACGACTAACTTCACTGCAAAGTTGTGCATGGAGGAAAGGTGATAGATGCATTCCAAGTGAGGACCGGAGTCAGACAAGTATGCTTACTCTCCCCTTTCTCTTTCTTCTGGTGGTCGACTGGACTATGAAGACCTCTATATCTGGGGTAAGCATGGAATACAATGGACAGCTTGGATGCATCCAAACGATCTGGATTTTGCAGACGACATAGCTCTTCTATCTCTCACACACACACGAACAAATTCAGGTGAAGACAGCCAGTGTAGCAGAAACCTCTAGATCAGTAGGCCTCAACATACACAAGGGAAAAAACAAGATATCGAAAATCAATACAGAGAACACCAAACCAATCGTACTTGATGAAGGAGCTCTGGAACAGGTGAATAGCATCATCTATAAACAAGGAGGATCCGATGCAGATGTAAAGGTGGGGATCGATAAAGCGAGAGCGACGTTCCTACAGTTGAAAAACATCTGGAACTCAAAACAACTGTCAACCAACACCAAAATCAGAATCCTCAACACGAATGTCGGGACAGTTCTACTGTACGGAGTTGAAACTTGGAGAACTACTGCAACCATGGTCAAGAAAGTACAGGTAGTCATAAACAATTGTTTACGCAACGTCCGTTAGCTGGATACCATCAGCAACAGCCTACTATGGGAGAGAACAAACCAGCTTCTAGCTGAAGAGGAAATTGAGAAAAGATGCTGGAAGTGGATAGGACATACGTTGCGGAAATCACCAAACTGAATCACGAGACAAGTGTTCACTTGGAATCCTAAAGGGAAACGGATAAGAGGAAGACCAAAGACAATACTGCGCCGGAAGTTAGAAGCAGATATCAAAAGGATGAATAGCAACTGGAAACTACTGGAAAGGATTGTCCAGGACAGAGTTCGATGAAGAATGCTGGTGGGCGACCCATACTTCTTCACGAGGAATAACAGGCATAAGTAAGTGCACTGGTCAGAAAATCGTGCACAGAACAAATGTAAATAAATCGAAGACGTAAAGTGCCACTGGATTGTAAGGTTTAACAGGTGATCGTATATGGTGAATACATTTTCAATTACTAAAAATTTATATTGGTTTACTTAAGCTGAACTACAGAAAAACCAGAAGTAATGAACAATCGGAAAGCCTTGTCCTAATAAACTATTGATGAGTATTTTAAATTGGTAAGTTTAGGAACAGAGAAGTGATGTAAAACTGCTTTTAGATAGACTCAAAATGAACTTTATAATTGAATGATGTCTTTAAATAGGTGTACGCTTCATAATATAAATTACTTGAATCATGAGTGATAAGTTCGTGTTAACCTACCATTAAGGTTAACATCAATGTATGGGAATTTGTCAGAAAGGCCCATACCAAGTTCCTTGGAATAACAACTCTTGGTATTAGATGGAGCAGATATCTTCAAACAATCAAGATATCTCGCGATCGATTTCAATATGAAATTGGCTTCGAAACATAAATCACAATTGTCACCTTCAAAAGCGATACTGTTTGCAATAACGAAATGGATGCCAAAAAAAGACCACAAATAAATAGGCGGTGTATAAACATTGTTTCCAACATCCCGGTGAAATCGATGATTCAAAAACTTATTAGTGCTAAATAAAAAAATGAGATATTTTTACCATCCTGATCAAATTCTACGTTGACACAGTAGCAGTAAATTTTAAGTCACAAAGAAATACAAATTGTGTGAAATAAGCTAGTAAAATCATAGGAAATATTTAAAGTTTAATTGATATTCACATTTTCTTCCATTGAGTTACCACGTATTTTAAGACGATTAAAATCGCCTGAGGCAACTGAACAGGTAAGCATTCGGCATCGATTCTGAACTTGTTAGTTTAAATAAGCAGCATCAGCTGAGGGAGCTTTGCCAAGCATTATCATCAAATTATGGCTCAGTTTGATGTAAAATGCTTCTCCTACTATAAGTAGCTATTTTGTAAGTTCAATTTACTCTCTACATCCGAATAAAACCGAATATAACTTACCTCGAAATCATTGTCATCTTGTGCTCCCGAATGCTCTGATACGGTCGAGGGTGGAGAGAGTCCGCTTCCCCTCTCGAAATGCTCTTGCATGGACACACGTATACAGCCACTGCTACAGAATTCCTAATCACTGCCTTCTCACGGCAGGGGTGTTCTTTACGAAATTTAGAAGACGAAAAGCGAATTTCCGGCGTTTTAACCAGGCCGGTTGACACGGTGAGTCCACTTAGAGGAGTTGGAAAACCCTGATTCCAAACCAATGGTGCACATGAGCTCCAGTATCCTGAAGGAACAGAAGGTGTATGAACCTATTGTTGGTCGCCGGCTACCATGGGACTGCATCTCCTAAAGTCGCTCCATTGCCATGTGGATTAGACCTTCAGGTCGAAGGCTCCGGGTCTGGCTACCTAAGAAAACCACCTGCTTCGGTTTGGACACCCGAGCAGTATCACAGCCCACACATAGATAAAGCGACTTGTGCGGCGCATATATATTTGGTGCCCCTTTGTACCAATATTTATGTGTTCAAATAAACAAATAAATAAGAATTATCGTCATGTCTTTTGTTTATCTTTAGTATAAGCAAAATTGAAGCAAATCCAAAAGTCGGTATTGTTTGATGCTATCATATTCAGGGTATCTTCATATCAATAAAAACTTAAAGGGATTGATAATTTAATACTGGGCGCATTTGATTTAAAACAATGGCTAAACAACTGACAAGACTTGTAACTAACCTTACGTACGATGTGACAAAACATAATTGCAAACAAAAAAACTTTGCATAACAATTAAGAAAGATGACGCACGCATAGTGAAATCCAATATCATGATTGCCAACAACAGTTTTAACTAATGTCTTCGTTTTATCATGATGAAAAATGTCACGAAATCTTTCCACTAAGCAGTTGAAATCATCATTTGTAGCCCATTTCCCTTCATCCAAAATATCTCCTAATATTATAACGGCATTAGGATTATGTAAATATAAGGAAGCTTGGAAAGCACGCTTCATTTGCCAATCCCTAGAATCATAAAGGCGAAATATAAACATTGATTCAGCATCATAGAGTTTCATTAAAATATACCATTTAATGTTATAGTAATGTTTCAATAACAAACAGATAATTAAATTGAAAATTCCCATTGTGAAAATTAGAACAACACATATAAGCGAACAATTGTTTTCAATTAGATCATCATCAGGCTTTACTCTAATATACAGTAATATTTATACGAAAATGTGATGACTTATCCTATTTCATTGTAATTACTGATCCAAAATTGCCTTGATTGGTTTAACATTTTCGTATAAATATTACTGTATATTAGAGTAAAGCCTGATGATAATCTAATTGAAAACAATTGTTCGCTTATATGTGTTGTTCCAAACAGATAATTCATGCGCAGTTCTTTCATTTTGATTAGTTTAGTGATATTGTTCTGCAAAAGAATGTCAAAAGTCTATAGATTTTGTATAGTGAACCAACAATGATGTTCAACTAGCCATAGATGTTAAATGATTGAAGATGGATAGATCTTCATCTACTAATAGAAGTATTTTTTTACTCTGACACCAATATAGTACTCTCAGGAAAAAACTCAGAATATCTTTAGTCCCTATACTTTAGTCTAAGTAGTGATTCGGTAGAAATAATTATTTAACAACCAATTTTGTTATTAAATTTGTTTCAAAAACTTCAGTGACTAGATTAGAAATTGATTTCTTAGAACAAATGTTTGAGTTGGGTACACGATCATTTTGTAACTTAGATATATGATTAAAAATTGTTAAATAGATAGCATCCAATATGTTGACTGTTAATGAAGTTTGTCTGTTACTTTTTTAATCACCCGTCATTACGTTATTTTAAACTTGAGATGTAAAAGGGGCGCATGTACTTTTGTATGCTTTTTAAAGAAATATCTCAGTAGTTACGCAATAAACTAGGCGAAGTACCTCCACCATTCGTTATATACTTACAACCTTATATGTACATAGTTTCGTATATCTTCGGCAAGTTAACATGTGGCAATTCCAGGCAGGCAGAGAACTAATGTTGTTTGACTATTGCTAATGATTAATATGTTATACTGTTAGATAGCTCTCAAGGAGTCTACAATTTTGAGAAGCAAAACTGAGTATATACATACTTAATGTTTACATTATGTGTATAGTAATATCAAAAGCTGTCGTAATGTTCTAATGAGTGGTGACTGTGATGAAACAATCAGTTTTATCCTGATATGATAGTTTGATAAAAGTAGTGAAAACATTCAAAAACATAAATTCGGTTTCAAAGTCCAACCTAACCAACCTCCAATGACTGTCATACAAACCACAAAAGAAATCTTAGATTCAGAAAGCGGAACGGTATGTTATTTATTACACAATACAGATTGTTTGCGTAAACATAGACAGAAAAAACTGTGTTATGAACCTCGTTTGTGAATTACGAAAGTTACGTTTCATCGTAATTTTGTAAGAAATATGTTAAATTAAAATGTATTTTTATAGGGACTTCGATAACCTTTAACATTTCACATTAACCACGCCGTCATACAGATCTGCAAAGTTTATGAAAGTATTACAAGTAGCTGTTGACAGAATAAACTATCACGTCTAGAGTAATAAAGAGGGTTTTTGAAATGGTGATAACTAGGTTGGAAACCATGAATAATACCACTTTGTCACGGTCTTAGGATTTACAACCACAAACAATACCACTGATATTTTGGACTAGATGTTTACTTATATATAGTAAGTTGAGATGTTATGGTGACTACAGTAGACAGAATAATTCTTATGAGCAACCCTTCCCAACAGCTTTATTTCAGAAGCCGTCCCAGGGAAGCTACACTTTTGTAAATTTTCAAAGTCAGGTTTTATGGCAGATGATGTGTGAGTTGATCGAAACCACGATTGTTTACTGTCGCTGATTATGACCATTGTTTTGTGGACCACATGTATAACTAGATGAGTCCCATTAGGAATTGACTATCGTTACTTTTTAAAGCCATTTTAATGAATTACTCTTTGTTCGATCAAATACCAGATTGCATGAGAGGAAGAGACATACTGGATTTTGGTTTGACCGAGGCCAATTTAAGAAAATTCCTCTTTTAATCGACGGTCTTGTTGTCCCGATTTACGTACTGACAGTTGAATCGTACCAATCGTGACAGGACGACCTCGGAGTTTCTTAATTGATGTGCAGCAATTCCAACAAATAAATAAAATACAATCGCGCTTCCGAAACCTAAGATGGGTGGGGCAATATCACTAGCTATTACAAAAAGATTTGTTTTATTGACTAATATATATTACATCGATCCGTCGAAGTTATTGCAAACAAGCTACAAAGTTCATTGGTGTTGATGAACTTATGGACACTCATACCTAGTATATGGTATTATATTACTTTAAGTTACTAAGTACTTAAAACTCCTGATATTAGTCGAAATCTACTCACTTATCAAAGAATCTTAAATACAAAAGGTTTGACATTTAATTTTAGGTCATGCAACAAAACCGACTACAGGGGCCACGTAAATATTTGTAAAGATAATAAACGATTCAAACCTTCTAATGCGGTCAATGGGGTGACCTAGAACGTATCCGACGAGATGTGTGTCGGCTAGTACCATCAAATTGACAATTGCAGTGTCGGGATTTTGTATGTTTCCCACACTAGCATTGGTTAGGTCGGGCCAATTACAACTGTATAGTGTGAAGTAATAAACAAGATATTCGCACACCCATATTAAAGCAGTAAAATACAAAATCAAGTACCACCTTCCCCGAAATATAATAAGGTTATGTGTTTCTGGAAGAAATCGGATGCTCAACAGTCTCCTGGTATTCTAAAACAAAGAATAGAATTTGTTTACAATCGAGAAGACAAAACAAGAATGAAAAGTCTTTATTACTGTATCAAAGTTTATTTCGACATATATTTGTAGTAAAGTTCTCCGACATCATAGATCCCGATAAACTTCCAACCATCTTCTTTCATGTGATACACTATAAAAGGTATTTTTACAAGTTGCAGAAAAAACATACGGTTAACAAATCCACCAGACGCTGCATCGCGATGTGTTGCATGGAATATTGACCGCCTAGCAAGTTCATACGCATCTTCATCACTCATCTCATATTTATAACCTGTATCTAAAACACCATAGGCATACGGACTTCCCGATCCCACAGAAAACAGGTTTCCAGGGGTTCTGTTGCCATCAGTATCAACATAATATATACCAGGTCCATTTTTGTCCCAACCAACAATAGTCGTACCAATACTGAGGCCCATTCCTTTGTAATTGTAGACCATATTTGCCAACAACTTTGACGCAGCAGCGACGGATATCCTTTCCTTATTTCGCAGCTCAAACAACCTAAAACATATAAGCATGAGGTTTTAGGCATCACCTGCAATGCTTAGCCAAAACGCGCTCCCAGAATTGACAGTCCGCAGCGCCTCCAGCCATGGTTCCAAGGAGATACTTGTTGATCTCGATTATCTTCTTAGTAGTACCAGAGGCTAGACAATGAATCGAAAGGATCAGAAAACTTACCAATATACGATCCAGCCGTTGCACGCGAATCTGTTGCCACGATGACACCGCCAGAATATTTGAGTGCAAGGGTAGTAGTACCGTGTAAAAAGTTAATTTTCGTTTCTTTGCACTGTATCCCATACTCTATCGGTTGTAGGTAGTTCTAGGACCCTTACAGTAAACCAAATCCAATACCTCAGTTTTTTTACTCCGATAAAGATCAACCTCTGATAGATGAGTACATACATTTTTTGCTTCAGGATCTTCTCCTAGCCTATTCATAACTTCAAAACCAGTTATATCCAACAGGGCCATGACAAAGTAAATGAGACGTACAACTTTGAATAAACGCCAGATTTCAAGCCTAAAACTTTACTATGCAGATCTGGTGAAAATTTTCTTACTTGGAGCCTATGTTTTAATAGTAAAAAAGCATTTAAAGTGTTATGAGTCTGATTCTTGTGATTTTGATTCCGGAAACTTAGGGACGAAAACAAACTAGTTAACAACAGGATATGTTGAACACGAAAGCTTAGGACAGTCTGTAGCAGTAAACCCCCAAAATAAGTAGTTCTGCGAGTCTGCAACATCGATGCTGACCCAACTAGTTTTGCTGGACACACTTTAGTTGAAGGCACTTCGTCACTGAATCCCGAGCCGGTACTCCATGCTACGTGTCTCTTGCAACTAATAGCCAGCTTAGACTAAACGCTAATCAACACATCAAAAACCTACCAAATATCTCTGCGAACCCCTTCATTTATGACTTATGATTTAATTGGGCTGGTATCCTTTGATTATAAAGGTGTTACGTGTTAAAGTACTGTCAAACTCGGAATGCGACCCGCGCTATTTAAAAAGGACAGTGATATTGTTTCTCATTGAGTTAAATTTACTGTTTTGATCGTAAATTACACATCAAAACTAATGTTTAAACTTTAATTGAATTTATTTCAGTTGAATTGATCTCGTAATTGTGTGTTTTGGTCTTGCTTTTATGTATTCATTACATCAAAGAATACTTGGACTTTATTTAGTTAAAGTTTGAGTTTTTTACAGATCCAGTTTTTGTTATCATTTTTAGTTGATTTTTATGATGGTCGGCTCTGCTCACAAATGTGGATAGCCATATTTTCTATTCAAATGGTTTAAATGGTTGTGGACGGAATAGAAGAAGCTTTCGCTTAACAGGCTTCCGTATCTAGTAGCAGGTGATCACCAATAACTCCAGGCAAGAACCTAGGTATATTAACGATAAAAGAGAAAAAAAAGAAATTGGTAAATCATAGTAAGATGCTATCCTTAGTCCTTAAGAATAGATCAAGTCGCCTCTTAAAGGACTCCTAAGAAGTCGCTTGGACTAGCTCAGCTGGCAGCGAATTCCAGCATTCGACAACTCTTAAGGAGTAGAAGTTGTGCCTGCAGTCCGTTCTACCATGTTGTATCTCTAATTTCTGGATGTTACCCCTTAGTTTAGTGTCGGGACTAAGCTTAAGTAGGTGTTTAAGAGGATGTCCAGGAGTGTTAAGGATACTGTAAGTCATTAGAAGGTCACCTCTAAGACGCCTGTACTCTAATGGGTAAAGGTCGAGTGATTGGAGGCGCTCATCGTAAGGTTTAAATTTGAGTCCCCGAACTGATTTCGTGGCTCGCCGTTGGATACGCTCCAGAGTGTCCTTATCCTTTTGGAGGGTAGGAGGGAATACTATGTTCCCGTACTCTAAATGGGGACGAATGAAACTATTGAAGATTATGTGGAAAGTTCTCCCGTCAAACTGACCAAAAATGCGCTTCAATGTTACCAGTGCAAGGTTTGCTCTAAAGGCATTTTTGTCACAGTTGGCGTAAGACTTTAAGTCGTAGGGCACCAGAACTCCTAAATCTTTTTCGACTCGGGATACTACTAGAGAGGAGTTTCCTAAGTTGTAACTGTAATCTGCGACGTGTCGCAGATAGACTACTTTACACTTTGAAGTGTTAAAGGTAAGTCCATTATCATCTGCCCAACTTTGAAGTCGATTCAGATCCTCCTGAAGTGCCTGTATGTCCTCTTGGTTGCGTATGTCTCTCCAAAGTTTCACGTCATCGGCAAAGAGCAGTATGTCTGACGTTACCTGTTGAGGAAGATCATTTATATAAATCAGGAAGAGGAGAGGTCCTAGTACTGAGCCCTGGGGGACCCCACTAGAACATTCCATAGCGCGTGAGAGATTGAAGTTCACCCTGACCTTAAAATGTCGATTTGTGAGATATGAACTGAGCCAGTCAATTAAAGGTGGTTTGATTCCCAATTGTTTGAGCTTGTTAATAAGACATGTGTGGTTAACCCTATCAAAAGCTTTAGAGAAATCAAGGTAAATAATGTCTACCTTCCCCTTGCGATCAACGATGCTTGTTCATCTGTCCACTGCGGTCAGCAGGTTCGTCATACAGGAATAACCCTTCCTGAAACCATGCTGTTGGGGTGAGAAGAAATTTAAGGACAGCAGATAGTCATGTATATCATCGTATACCAGGGACTCCGTGATCTTTGAAGGTATAGAGAGAAGGGCCACCGGTCGGTAACTTGAAGGTTCACTGCGTCGACCTCCTTTGAAGATTGGTGTGATATGAGCCAGCTTCCAAATATCCGGTAGTTTGCCCCGACTTAGCGAGTGTGAGAACATCACGCTAAGCGGTGTTGCCAGGATTGAAGCTGCCTCCCTCAGTATAGCAGAGTGGACCATATCTGGACCAGGAGAAGTGTCTGTTCTTAGGTGTTGTAATTTACGGAACACCAAGTCAGCGCTCAGGTTCACTACGGAAAGTCCTGTGCAGTTGCAGATGAAGCTGTCATCAGAATGATTGATGTGGGCCAGTTGAAATGTCCGGGAGTATTACTCAGCCAGAATGTTAGCGGCGTCGCCGTCGTTATCAGTCGGGCCGTTAGGACCTAGCAGTTGGGAAACTCCAGTTTTGGTTTGACGAAGAGAGGCTGCGTAACGGAATAAGCTTTTCGGATTGGAAATAAATTTATCCATAAGCTTTAACTGGTACTGAAGCCTGTCTTCTCTTATAGCCTTCGTACATATGTTCCTTATATGTTTGAAATGCCTGTACGCGCCGTTGTTGTCGCTTCGTTTGTATTCTGCCCAACAGTGTCTTTTACGGCATAACAAACGAAGAGTGCGGTTTTTGATGATTGTAGGTGGCATGTGGCTTTCGGGGACCGTTTGAAGGACTGACTGCTTTGTAGCACATAAGATCGTGTGTAGTAGGAAGTTCCAGTGAGCATCCACATCAAGTTGAGGGTGAACATCCCAATCCACCTGTTGTAGATAGTCAGACACATTCAACCGTTTGAAATTCCAGCGCCTGTTTTTGTTGTTGGGATATCTTAGCTCAGTTTTACTGACAAAACTGAAGGCTATAACGGCGTGATTGCTTTTCCTCAGGGGAGCCAGAATTAAGAGGTCGTCAACTAGAAACTCTTCATTTGTAAAAACACGGTATAAGCGCGACGGTGTCTGACTGTTCCTCCAACGAGTGGAAGAATGAATGCAATTTAGCGAGTGTAGGAAGTGGTTCCATGAGGTGTGTACCCACTTAAGCCCCACTGCCCATAAAAAATGCTCACAGCCTAACTCTTATTGGCTCTATATGTTCTGTTATTTGAGCAAAAAATTACCCATCCAAGAAGCGATTAGCCACCTGGCAGTGGCTATTAAAATGATTGACGTGGACTGTACTGGCAACATGGGTACTAATAGCGAGGATCGAATCAATGTCGTAAGTGCTGTCATGGCACGTGTCAGACACTGTGCAACACGCGTTAGAGCTTTCTATTTCGAAACAATTAATGAGCGATACGCCATTAGGTATTGGTGGCCACGTTAATACAGCAGCGACCGATGATATAGACAAAACCATTACCGTCCCGGGTTGTTCTAATATGGATACTGTGACTGATAGAAAATGGATGATGCGGAAATATAGAAGAGTGAGAATAATAGCCAAAACTAGCGCTTGTTTAGTTCAAAAGTTCTTGGTGGACTCAATTTCTGCGTGTCAGATTACTCCGTCAAAATCCGAAAACAATTTCTCATCAA